TGAAGTTGCTCTGATCAATATGAAGTTCTGACAAGAAAAGCTCTGAAGCTCTGCTCTGACATAAAGCTTCTGATAAGTCAAAGATTCTGATACTCTGATGTTCAAAGAAAGGCAAAAAGATCTGATCCTGAAGAACACGTATAATCAAAGGGAAGTAATAAACTCAGGGGGAGTATTTCCTTACTCCTTATTCTTTTACTTCTTATTCTGATACATATTCCAGATACATTTTCACGTTATTTTCATTTAAAATATCTAGTTTTTGTCATCATCAAAAAGGGGGAGATTGTTAGAACAATGTTTGAATCTACTACCCTATATTTAAGTTTTGATGATAACAAAGTGAAAAGATATAGTATTTATAAGTTTCATGAATGAACTATCTGCTGCCTAAAAATTATTATGTTCTGACTTGCAGATACGCTGATTGAAATAAGCAAGATCACATCTATTCAGCATCAGAATTTAATTTCATACACCAGCATCAGAAGTTGCTACATCAGAACGTCAAAATCAGATGATCAACTCACGTACATGCTGAAGCCTGATGAACAAGACTGCGCTCAACACTCTAATACAGAAACACAATAGTTCATCAGCAGCGAAGCAGAATCAGAATGAGCCAAGCCAGAACTTGCATTAAGTAAGCAACGGTACTGTGCATTGAAAGCAAATTAATTCCAACGGCTTCATTCCAGACAAGATCTGCTCAATAAGGAAAGTTTGTTATTAGCATTGAATCAAGAATATTGCATCCAACGTTCATCATCTCAGTGCTATATAAACAAAGCTTTGAAGATTGAAATGGTTAATGCTCTCCAAAATCTCTACACGCACAAAAGCTGAACCATAATCTTCGTTCTACCAGTTTTGCTAAACCACACACTCTGATATTCCATTACTGTTTAGCAATTTAGTTTCTAAGCTTCATTTTGTGTATACATCACAGTTGTGATACAGTTTTGTAGAAAACATCCACACACATAGTTTTATCTCTTTGTAAGAAAGTGTTACCTTGACAAACCGGGTTGTGGTTTGAATCAAGAAGGCTTTAGCAGTTGTTAAAGCAGTCTGTAATATTCAGTTGAATATAGTGGATTAAGACCTCGTTGGAGAGAGGCGAAATCACCTTGACGGGTGGACTGGAGTAGTTTGAGATCAAACGAACCAGGATAAAAATATCTTGTCAATTGCTTTAGATTTCAGTTTTACAATTCAACCCCCCCTTCTTGTGTTTTTCACCACTTCATGATGGCCCTATCTTCAATAGGGTGGTGTCACAGTTCCCAAGGGTTGCCTCATGTACTCAACGAACACAGCCCGTCGAAAGTCCCCCGAGCACTCCTCGAAAAGAATTATCTCACGAGCGCGACACAGGGGAAGCTCCTCAAGCAACCACGGGGAACCAAATCTCCTGGCCGAGCATGAGACCCCGTGACAAAGGCGAGCTGAGGTCAAGTCATAACTCCTGCTCCAGGAGCTACGACTTGGGGGGCTCCTGTTCTGGACTGGGCCCGGGTTGGCCCAAGAGCAAGAATGAAGGCCCAATCCAACCGGCTTTGCAGGGGGCGCGCCGACCAAGAAGCTACAGCCGTACCAGCCACTGCCTGCGAACGCAACGTCCTCGACCTCATACAGTCCAGCTCGAGCACCCCCCCCCCCCCCCCCCCCCCGTAGGGCAGACTATGACCGTTACACCCTCACCTGAACTCCGAAAAGACCGCGTCCTCGTCCGCTCGTACTTCTCGTAGAGCACCCAAGAAAGAGACCACATGCGGGTCCCCACTACACACGTAGAACCTGGCAGTTCCTTTATTGGGTCAATCCTGGTCGGCCCAATGAAGGGACCTTAGCCCAGCGCTGGGGGCTATAAATATCCTCTGTTCCAAGAGGGTCAGGTATTCATTCTCTTACCCAGATACGCACTTTTTACCTCCTCGTACCACCACTCACTTTAGCATCGGAGTGCCTTGCAGGTACCCCCATCTATATATATATATATATATATATATATATATATATATATATATATATATATATATATATATATATATATATATATATATATATATATATATATATATATATATATATATATATATATATATATAAATGTACTTGTGTGGACGCATGCTAGTAGTTTAATTAAAGTTTAATGTTTTTTTTTCCTTATCTTAATTTTGAGTTCATTTTACTTTCTTAAATTAAAAATAACATATTAATTTTTTAGTTCTTCAAAACATATTATATTAGTCTTTTTTATTTAATTAACTACAAAATTTAATGATCATTTTTTTAATTTTTCTATTATTAATTAAACAAAATGACCAACATAATACATTTTAACGAATTATAAAAGTAATATGTAATATGTTACTTTTTTAAAATTAAGAAATTAAAAGGAGTTTCAGTAATATTAACATTAACATGCGAGACAAAAAAAATATTACGTCTTTAATTAATCTGCAACTCTCTCAAAATTCATAAAGTTTTAATTACTTTTGTGAAGAAACTGAAAGGTTGAATTACACGCTTTCTCATTATGAAATATATGATAATATATCAACCATGTATGAGATAGAAAAAAAATTACAACCAAATGGAATGACGGAGCAAGAATTAATTTATTAAATAGTATAAACAAATCCACAACAAATAAGAGAAAAACGATAGACGAATATACAAAGAATTTATTTATTTAATTCAATCAAAATAATCTACTTTAGAATATCTCTTAAATTCACTATAATTTAAAAATTATTATAAAACATTACAAATGAAATAAAAACAATAATATCTCACATTCTCAATAACAACCTTATTTTTTATCTAAATATGTTTCAATCGTTCAAACTCTCTCTATAATAAACTCAATGTTTTAGAGCCCCAAGTTTTTATATGTATTTTTATTGTGGTAACATTTAGTATAGACAAGTGACATTTTCCCACCATAAAAAAATTGCATTTATTTTTACCTACAATAACAGGTTATAACCTGTTAAACATTTTTTATTTATTTGAGTGTTAATTATTATTTTAATATTAATATTTGTTACTCTATTACATCTCATTATCAAATATACACCTCCTTCTCAAATAATCTTATTATCTATAATTATTTTTTATTTTAATAATAATATAATTTTTATATTTAAAATAAAAAATATAACTTAAATTAAATTAACTTTAAAAAATGTAATGAAAATTACTTCATTTAATTATTTATAACTTTTAAAAAATGTTTAAACAATACTCACAACCATTACTTGTAACTTTTATAATTTATAAATTTAATTAATCCTAACTTTTAATTATTTAATTATTTATAGCTTGTTATTACATTTTTATTAGTATTAAAAAAAATTATTCACATTAACAAAACCAATTGCAAGTGCTAGTTAAAGTTTAAGAATTCTAGAAACAATTGGATGCAAACTGAAGTCATATCTTTTTTTTCTAAAACATAATTTATAACTTTTATAACTTATAAATTTAATTAATTGTAACTTTTAATTATTTAATAATTTATAGTTTTTATTATATTTTTATTAGCATTTTAAAAAGTTATTCACATTAACAGTACCAATTATAAGGGTTAGTTACAAGTTTTAGAACTTTATAAACAATCGAATGAAAATTAAAATCGTATTTTTTTTAAAAGCTAAAACAAAGAGACTTATATAAACAATCTCATTTTTTAGTTCAGTCACACATATGTACAGGGGTCTGCCTAAAATTATGTTATATTCCTAAAATTATGTTATATTAGATATCACTTTGACAGATGAAACTTGCAACCGTGTGACATAAGCATCTTCAATTATATTTATACATTATAACTTATGAAATATTACTTTGTTTTGCTTAAAATGTTATTTTTTGTTTGACATTTTGTTTAGTTGAAGGAAAATGAAGTAGTTAAACCACTTAAAATATTTTCTGTTTCATACTTTTTAAAAGGCACAGAATTTTTTTATTAGCATAACAGAGTGCAGGCAAAAAACATACCCAAAAACTAGTTCATACAAATGAGAATGGTGTGTAAGAACAAGTAAACAACACAAATACACTAAAGCAAAATATTAACTCCACATCAATCAATGATCTACACATCTTTTATAGTGAAAATTTCCATCAAACCCACCCCATAATTGAGTAGCCTTAAGAGTAGACCACTCATAACACAAACACCAGCTAGCAGATCCACAACATTCCCAAATTAGTTTGACGGTAAAATATGAAACCAATGCAGGTACAAGCCAAAATATCATAATTATACAAGATATGAAATGAAACTCCAATGAACACTCAGCATCAGAAACACAATAGAATTTATCCTCAAGTACATTTGCCTCAACTAACAACACTGCTTTAAACTGATAGATACAAACCTTATCTAAATACTGATAGATACAAACCTTATCTAAATACATCTAAGCTGATTTCACATCATTCCAATAACGGCTTCCTTAGCAGGGAATGAGCCTAAACACCTCTACCAACCGAAAAAGAAACTGAAATATTGAACTTGCTTGAGATTAGAAATTCCAGATGAAATACAACAAACACAAAATTAGATGTAGGCAAACAAATTAAGCTTAACATTTCATTTGCAAGTCCTCCTTATATTATAATTATAATTATGAGCCGTCATTCAATATCACCCTTCTTCACAAATACTGCACACTGCTATGCCAGCTCTATGGCTGATTTTCCATCCACAGCAGAGAAAAATATGAACTTGCTTGAGATTAAATACAACATACACAAAATTAGATGTAGCCAAACAAATTAAGCTTAACACTTCATTTGCAAGTCTTCCTCATATGATAGTATAATTATGAGCCGTCATTCAATATCACCCTTCTTCACAAGTACTGCACTGCTATGCCTGCTATGGCTGATTTTCAATCCACACAGCAGATAAAAATATGCCAATAAACGGTAACCAAAAAGCAACAGCCCCATTCAAACCGCTATCAATTCTGATCTCATTTATGCTAGGTGCAATGTGTTCGCTCATATTGGAGTTTTGGCATACGCCTCGTAGTTGAAAGATTGGTACTGAATCCAAAATATGAATATAGGACTTTCTGTCAAATTTAGCAAGCATGTGTCAATTACTCAATCAATATCGTTATTAGGCAATACTAAATGTTATGTTAAACAAATTTACCTTTACAAACAAACCCCCAGCCAACATGAAAGTCATGACAGTGAGTGAAGCCAAAGTTGTTGCCCTTTTCAAGTCCATTAGTGTTGAAAGCATGGTGCAATGTGTTCGCTCATATTGGAGTTTTGGCATAAGCATGTACGCCTGGTAGTTGAAAGGTTGGTACTGAATCCAATATATGAATATAGGACTTTCTGTCAAATTTAGCAAGCATGTGTCAATTACTCAATCAATATCGTTATTAGGGCAATACTAAATGTGGTTAAGTTAAACAAATTTACCTTTACAAAGAAACCCCCAGCCAACATGAAAGTCATGACACTGAGTGAAGCCAAAGTTGTTGCCCTTTTCAAGTCCATTAGTGGTGTTGCCCCAATAGCAAGTCCAAGTCCCTATAATCATCATTAGTAATTATAAGTTAGCACTAATTAAAGACCATTTAAGTTTATGTTATTTACAAGCTGTATTGTAAATTTCTACAACAATGCATACCTGAGCTGCCACGATGCAGAGAAAATTTGTAAGAATACTCAGGAGAAAGGGTCTTGCATTGAGTCTCAAACCAGCCCATGAAATAAACAACTAGGAGGAAGAGCACTGGTAGTACAAGGTCTAATGGAAGGGCATTTGTAGTTCTAGCCACAAAGTACGTACTTAATCTGTACGTGTACATATCTCTGTTGCTCTTTCCTCTTATTCAGCATTGCTCTTTCTTGAGGAAATGTGAATATTGCAGTGAGCACACAAGATAATCCCAAAAACACCTCAATAAAGAAAAGCAATCCAGCCTACAATCCAAAAAGATCAAGGATCAAAGTCTTAACTTCCAACACCTTCTTTTTGTCATAATTATTCGGTCTCGCCGAGGCTGAGATAAGTAAAGTCTGATAAATTACTATTTTAAGTTGAAAGTGTTTACCTAGTCTTAAAGACCCTTTAGGTTGCTACCATCAGACTGCCACCAAAGTGATCCCAGAAGGATTGCAGTGGAAAGAACTTGTGTAATTCCCAACCAGCTAAATAGTCCTGCCTACACTCTTTGAATCCTCTAGAAAATAATATTGAATATTGTTCTGACCAACTTGTTCTTCACTATCTTTTACATGAAGAACAAGAGAAATTGGAACTAATAGTTTTTCTTCTCTGTATCTGCTACTTTAGTCTCACCTCCACTATATACTGTTGAAAATTCATCTATAATCAGCTATAGAAGTATCTTTCTAATCAAATGATTCCAAAATGCTCTAAATTGGTTTTTAGTACACCAAAATATACCACTTTTTGTTTTTAGTCCGTGTATAAGTAAAAATTAATCCTTGCAAATATACTTTGTTTTGCTATTTGTTAGTCCGCATAATATGTGTATTATTAATTTTGGTCTATATGAGTACAAAAAATAATTTTTACCAGGACTAATAGCAAATTGTAGTATATTTGTAGAGATAAAAAACATATTTATAAATTGATCATGTGAATTCATTTACCTCTTGTACAACTGCAGCTGATAGTTTCCCATTTGATATTTCAGCTTCTGCATTTTCCATCTGAACTTTAACCCTTAACTGGTACAGAAATATCAATCATGTTTCTATTTGCAAGATCCAATAAAAACTGCTGGGTTCATGGTAATGAGAGGAGAACACCCTATAAACTTGTGAAAGAGTCTGCTCGATGATTGGTGGATGTTGTCACTATAGTTTGCCCAGCCTGACAACAAAATACGACACAGAAAGTTAAGATGTCTCAAAGGAACGTGGGAAAAAAAACAACAATACTCAAGGCTGTTGTAGAATCCAAACTAGATGTTAGTTCGTCAAGAAATAGAAGAGTAGGATTGGTTATGATCTCATTGACAATACAAACTCTTTTCCTCTCCACCAAATACTCCTCGAACAAAGGAACCCCATCAGTGTCTTAACAAATATGCTTTCATATAATTAAGCATAAAAAATATTTGACAGTATATTGAACAAATTTGATTACTGAATATATATAATCAACTAACCGAGCAATACACCGTTGGGGTTAGGATAATTTGGATTGAGAAGGAGGTGAAAGAATTTCCCTAGGTATGAGTTCAACCAGTTTTGGAGGCTTATTCTTGAAAGCCAAGATTCAAGTTCTGTCATTGATGTTAAGTGCTTCAGCGAATTGTTTCTGGTATGGTAAAATAACTGCAGAGTTTCTTTTCTCTTTCTACCCTACATCGGCATGTAGTGAGCGTGTAACAAAAATCCATTGCTGATCTATTTGGAATAAACCTGTCCAACTGTTGCAAAAAATATTTCCTAGATTGAGAAATTCTGAATCAATAAAATCAAACCAAACTAAATAAATAAATAAGTAAAAATCATTCTAAATCAATAAAAACAGTAAAAGTGAGGGAAATCACTTACGTTATCATGATCCTGCCAAGAATTCTTCTGATGAAACTCTCAACCGTGTGACATAAGCATCTTCAATTATATTATACATTATATAACTTATGAAATGTTACTTCGTTTTACTCAAAATATTTTTTTTGTTTACATTTTGTTTAGTTGAAGGAAAATGGAGTTAAATTTAATTCATTTAAAATATTTTCTGTTTCATACTTTTTAAAAGGCAGAAAAATTTGCTATTAGCTATCACATCTAACACAAAGTGCAGGGAAAAAACATACCCAAAATAGTTTATACAAAATACACTAAAGAAAAATATTAACTCCAAGTCAACCAACGAATCTACGACATCTTTTACAAAAGTGAAAATTTTCATCCTAACACAAACACCGGCTAGCAGATCCACAATATTCTCAAATTAGTTTGACAGTAAAATATGAAACCAATGCAGTAACTATACAAGATATGAAATGAAATGAAACTCGAATGAACACTCTCAGTAACTATACAAGATATGAAATGAAACTCCAATGAACACTCTCAGTACATCAAGGCTAACCCTGATCAGCATCAGAAACACATAGAACTTATCCTCAAGTACATTTGCCTCCAAACTCTTTTCTACAGCCGCTTGAAACCAACACTAACAACTCTGCCTTACACTGATAGATGCAAACTACAGCTATGTCATGTAGCATCTGAACAATCCCCAAGGCTGCTGTAGAAGAGAAGGATTGATTATGATCTCATTGCCAATACAACTCTTTTCCTCTATCACTAGACACTCCTCGAACAAAGGAACCCCCCTATAATAGTGTCTTGACACATGTTTTCATACAATTAAGAATACAAAAATATTTGTCAGTATATTAAACTCTATTATGTTGTTTTCGAGCATAATTATGAATAATTGAGACTCTAGTGAAAGCATGAATTTACCTCTCCAAGCCTAGCTCATAGATACCATATATGAACAAGCTGCATATGTCAACGTTTCTTTCACAGTTAGGTGAGGAAACAGAACATCATTCTTCACTTGTCAGTATATTAACATTATGAACCAGTGTTGCACAGAAAATCGTCGAAAGAAACCTACATGCTTTTAAAGAACTTGGAATATGGTTGATCATTGTAAGTAATAGATCTGCCAATCGTTGGATGAAAGAAACCTACCTGCTCTGCATATGAGAGTCTTCATTTTTACCGGATACGGTTGAATTTTGCAAATGGCTCATTATATGCCTTTGGCGCAGCTTTTCCTGCTGTTGCTGGGTTTCCAAAGACATTCCAAAACCTTAGAGTCTCATCTGCGGCTGCAGATGCCACAGTACACCCATCTGGGCTTTGTGTCATATACAGCACTCTCGAGGTGTGACCGTTGAGCTCCGCAATCTTCACCATTGAAGGGTACTTCCAAAGGGTAAGCTGGTTTTTAGTGAACCCATGTGAGCTAAGAAGCTCGCGCTCATTCTTGTTCCAGAGCAGAGAACAAACTTGTGATCCTGTGTCGAAAGAATTCAGTCTTGCACCTGTGTGTGTGTTCCACAGTTTAATGCAATGATCACCCCCACCTCCACCAGATGCCAATAGGTTGCCCTGAAAAGGACACCAAGCTAGTGCCTTCACAGCAGCTGTGTGTTCCTCAAACCTATGAAACCAATTAGTAGGTGAATTTGAGGAAACCACAGACCTATCCCATATGTGAACAACATTATCGTTTCCACCACTCGCCAATTGATGTCCTGAGGATGACCACTTGAGCCCACAAACTTCCTGGTTGTGTCCTCTGTACGTTTCAACAATGTGAGATCTCACTCTAACATCATTGTTTACTATTTTACCATCCATTCCTCCTGTTGTCAGAATGTGACTGTTCCAAGCCAGCGAACCCACTCTTGTTCTATGTCCACCCTTCAATGTCCTTAGCTACAGAAACCAAAATGAAACCATACAAATATGAGACTTGAGAACAATTTAAGTTTAAATCAAAACAAGAATTGTAAAAAAAAAAAAAAAGAATGGTTAAAAAAACAGGGCAATTTCTGTTTAGTATGAAAAAACATATTTTTCCATAAGCAATTTGCATCTATAGTATGATGAATAAACAACAATAACAGCAGCATAAGAACAAGGCCTAATGATTTATATGATATTTACCTGTTTAGAAGCACAGGCATCCCATATCTGGACATGGGAATTGTTCAAACCAATAGCTAAATGACGTCCATCTGGTGCCCAACTAACACTTGTGACAGGACCATATTCCTCATCCACAGTGACAAGTTCTGAAGTGGAACTATCGGAAGCATTCCAAAGATAAACTGTGTTTTCAAGGGCAATACTAAGGACATTGTCGCTACCCCAATCTAGTAAGTTCAAGTAAAAATCATCCAAGATATCAGGGGCATCCAAAGTCCTCTCAGAAGTCTGCAAAATCATTTTCACAAACACATTCAAAACATGCAAACTGAAATTGAAAAAAATTGAAAGACTTAACAAACTTGATTATTGAATATATATAACACAACAACTAACCTGAGGAATAGATCGTTTGGGTTTGGATAATTTGGATTGAAGAGGAGGTGAAAGAATTTCCCTAGGTATGAGTTCAACCGGAGTCGGAGGCTTATTCTTGAAAGCCAAGATTCGAGTTCCGTCATTGATGTTAACAGCTTCTCTGAGTTTTTTCTGGTATGGTGTAATCACCTCAGGATTTTCCTTTCCCTTTCTACCCTCCGTCAGCATGTAATGAGCATAATTAAAATCCATGGCTGATCTATTCGGAATAAACCTATCCAACTGCTACAAAAAATAAACCCTAAATTGAGAAATTCCGAATGGAAAAAGACAAATCAAACAAAAATAAAAATAAATAATCATTATAAATCGCTTACGTTATCTTGATCATGCAAAGAATTCTTCCGAAGAATGAAGCGTTCTTGGAAAGGGGTTCGGGGATCGGTCTTGGAAAAAGGCCTCCACCATCCTGAATCCATGACCAAAGAAACCTGCAAGAAAGAAAGGGAGATTCAGAGAAATGAAAGAAATGCAGAAATGACGATAATAAGGAAAAGATGGGAAGCGTGTTGTGGTGATCGATTTGCGCAGTCTCCTATTGATGAAGCTTCGAGAAAAGCTTCGAGGAGAAGAAGATGATGGAAGAGTTTGATCGTGATTGATTTTTCGCAGTGTCTGAGTGATGAAAGCTTCGAGAAAAGCTTCAAGAAGAAGAAGAAGATGATGATGATGATGAGAGACGAAAGAATTAACGAACACTGTAAATTTGTAATATGACGGTTATGTGATTATATATAAAAATAGCCGTTGGGGTTTTTGGTTTAACGGAAGTAACCCTTAATTAACTCGGTAACGTTGTTTTAGTGTATGAAATGAAAGTATTCTATATGTGGGCTTGGGCCTAAATTATTTACAGTAAGTTTTAAGAGAAATTTTTACTCATTTATATATATTTTTTAATTTTTTTCCTACAATAAATTTACACTTTTATTAATTTTGTTAACATAATAAAAATCACACAAATATATCCGCAACAAAAATAAATAAATAAAATAAAATGACAAAATATACATAACGATAAATGATAAACGTTGTTGAAACATTTCTATTCTGATTCAACAACAACAATCTGATATAGATTAATTTATTACACAATAATAATCTATTTTTGAAAGTCATATTTCTGACACATTTCTCCAATGATATTATCTAACTCTATAATAGAGTTTTTGGGTTTTAAGGGAGTTCCAAAAAAATTCATGGGAATAGATTTTTGTGTGAGGATTTTTTTTTTTTTTTTGTGTTGTTGAGAGATTTGGAATTGAGTCTAAATTAGAAAGATTTATGATAAATTAGTTGGTTGATACTTATATAGTTTCTTTGAATTGCATATAATTGAGATTAAAATTGTGTGGAAATGGAGATCGAGAGAAAAAGAAAAAATGTGAATGTTAAAAAATATATATTTATGGTTGTTGGCCATGCTTTACCAAACAAAATAAATATAAAACTTAAATTTTCATCTTGAAGTTCTATTACTAAATGTATAATTGTTTTTATTCTAAATGTGTTTGCTATCATTAATTACATGAAAAACTAGATTTTTTTAAGGTTCTTGTTGTTTGAATGTTGGGGATTTGGTGTTAACATGAAGTTGTTTTTTTTATATTTTGATCGTGAATAGATTTGTTTGGTTGTTATTATTTTAAAAATTTTAATTAGAAGTGATTTTTTTTTTGGAATTTTGATGAAGATGGAAGGTGGTGAAAAAGAAGAGAGGAAGAAGTTGAAGAGACATAAAAAATATTAGTTGTTGATGGTGTATTCTTATAAATGAATAGACCATCAAGATTTAATGATGTGAAACTTGTTAAAAATAATCAAAAGGTTAATATTAAAAATATGAATGAAGTCTATCTTAAACATTCATTAATATTGTTTCATCTAATCTATTTAAAGTTAAAAGTTAATGGAATAGATAAAATTAACTAAAGAAAATGTTTTTGAAGAACTTAAGTGTAACGTTTATTAGATAAAGGATTAAACTAAATCTTTAAATTAACTTTGAAGTAAGCCTTAAGAAATATATAGAATGAATTGAGAAATTTCTTGTTTCTTTTATTTAACTAGTAATAAATTCGTGTGTAAGCACGGGTTTTAAGTTGATACACGCATTTATTTATTTAATTTTTAAATAAAAGATTAAAAAGAAAAATATTTAGATTAATAATAGAATTTTTCGTGTATAAATATTTAAATCAATAATAGATTTTTTCCGTATAAAAATATTATTTTTGTGAATTTTTTTTTGCAATAACCAACTTTTGAAAAAAAAATCGCAAATAATCATGTTTCGGAAAAAATTACGCAAATAACCATGTTTCAGAAAACCCCACAAAGAAGGAGCCAACCCAGTTGGCTCCTGCACTAGGCCATTTGTCCTAGGCGCCATCTCACTTGGCGCATGCTCTCTCATTTAGCCAAGTGAGATGGCGCATGCATTCTAAAAGTGAGAGGAGGCGTCATCTCACTTGACTCCTAGGACAAAATGCAATTTTTTATAAATAAGTTCTTCGTTTCTCCGTCATTCTTCACACTTTCTCGCACTGTCTTCTTCTTTTTTTCTCTGTTATTTGCGTCATGACATCTCCCATGATTTTTACTAGAGATGGTTACGTTATTTTCTCGGCCACCAAACCTCCGATGAAAATGATATTTTGGCATATTCACTCCATGAAGCGCCTGAAGAGAGAGTTGATGTGATGGCTAGAGGGAGACATCGAGGATGGGGAACAAATTAGAAGGATCCAGCAAAGAAGAACAACCACCTCACTTGCAATCGGAAGACCTAATTTTTGGTTGGAGGAAGTTAAAACAGGCAAAGATGTAATGTTGATGATGCATGGGTCAGATGAAATTGTTTTAACGGTTATAATTTCTTAGAAGTTTTATCGTGTTTTTATTTGTTGTTTGCGCAAGGTTTGTTGTAACAAATGCTCTTAATGAAAAACCGTAATGTTAATAACTTAAAAAAGTAAAGATGTTTTGCATGCAATTTTTATGTGGTTGATCTAGTAGTCCGAGTCAGAAATTTTTTGCGATTGTGTCCGACCTGACGACATAAACCACACTTTCTTTCTAGCTTGTCCAGTGAGTCTATTTCAATTGTGATGCACTTGCTTTTAGGATGAACCTTTTTATTCCTTCGCATTTGGTCGTTGTGCCAGACTATTTCACCGTCGTATACATGCCAACAATCATGTTTCGCTACCAATGGGAAGTTGTTATTGTATACGTTGAGCAAGCCTTCAGACTTGTAAATGGGAGATAGAAGTTGTAATGCGTCTTGATGAGTATAGGCACATGCCGCAATGACATGAGAGCAAGGCATACGAAAGGCTTGAAATTTGCCACAATCGCACCAACGAGAAGGTAGTATAACCCTATACTCTTGTCTTGGCAGCCCCTCGTTATGGTCGATTGTCTCTTTGACAATGAAGTTATGGCTGTGTCGGTCGAACCGTATAACCATATAGGTATTGGCTTTGGCACTTTATGCCTCAATATACTTCATGCAGCTTTCACTCCATAGTTGTCCTGATTGCAAGACAAC